AAGCTTGGTTTGTTTGGATATGAAATTCTGGGTTGAAAATTCTTTTAAGAGATCCACTGTTAGTCTGATGAGCTTCCCTTTGTAGGTAATCTGACCTTTCTCTCTGGCTGCCCTTAACATTTTTTCCTTCATTTCAGCCTTGGTGAATCTGACGATTATGTGTCTTGGGGTTGCTCTTCTCAAGGAGTAACTTTGTGGTGTTCTCTGTATTTCCTGAATTTGAATGTTGGCCTGTCTTGCAAGGTTGGGGAAGTTCTCCTGGATAATATCCTGAAGAGTGTTTACCAACTTGCTTCCATTCTCCTGGTCACTTTCAGGTACACCAGTGAAATGTAGGTTTGGTCTTTTCATATAGTCCCATATTTCTTGGAGGCTTTGTTCCTTTTCATTATCTTTTCTCTAATCTTGTCTTCATGCTTTATTTCATTAAATTGATCTTCAATCTCTGATATCCTTTCTTCCACTTGATCGATTTAGCTATTGATACTTGTGTATACTTCATGAAGTTCTTGTGCTGTGTTTTTCAGCTCCTTCGGGTCATTTGTGTTCTTCTCTAAACTGGTCATTCTAGTTTGCAATTTCTCGCACTTTTTTGCAATGTTCTTAGCTTCCTTGCATTGGGTTAGAACATGCTCCTTTAGCTCAGAGGTGTTTGTTATTACCCACCTTCTGAAGTCTACTTCTGTCAATTTGTCAAATTCATTCTCTGTCCAGTTTTGTTCTCTTGCTGCCGAGGAGTCGTGATCCTTTGGAGGAAAAGAGGCATTATGGTTTTTGGAATTTTCAGCCTTTTTGTGCTGTTTTTTCCTCATCTTCGTGGATTTATCTTCCTTTGGTCTTTGATGTTGGTGATCTTCAGATGGGGTTTTTGTGTAGACGTCCTTTTTGTTGATGTTGATACTATTCCTTTCTGTTTGTTAGTTTTCCTTCTAACAGTCAGGCCTCTCTGCTGCAGGTCTGCTGGAGTTTGCTGGTGGTCCACTCCAGACCTCGTCTGCCTGTGTATCACCAGCAGAGGCTGCAGAACAGCAAAGACTGCTGCCTGTTCCTTCCTCTGGAAGCTTTGTCCCAGAGGGGCACCTGCCAGATGCCAGCTGGAGCTTTCCTTTATGAGGTGTCTGTCCACCCCTGCTGGGAGGTGTCTCCCAGTCATGAGGCACGGGGATCAGGGACCCACTTGAGAAGCAGTCTGTCCCTTAGCAGAGCTCGAGCGCTGTGCTGTGAGATTTGTTACTCCTTCAGAGACGGTAGGCAGGAATGTTTAAGTCTGCTGAAGCTGCGCCCACAGCTGCCCCTTCCCCCAGGTGCTCTGTCCCAGGCAGTTGGGAGTTTCATCTATAAGCCCCTGACTGGGGCTGCTGCCTTTCTTACAGAGATGTCCTGCCCAGAGAGGAGGAATCTAGAGAGGCAGTCTGGCTACAGTGGCTTTGTTGATCTGTGGTGGGCTCCACGGAGTTTTAACTTCCTGGTGGCTTTGTTTACACTGTGAGGGGAAAACCGCCTACTCAAGCCTTAATAATGGTGGATGCCCCTCCCCCCACCAAGCTCAAGCATACCAGGTTGACTTCAGACTGCTGTGCTGGCAGCGAGAATTTCAAACCTGTGGATCTTAGCTTGCTGGGTTCCATGGGGGTTGGATCCACTGAGCTAGTCCACTTGGCTCCCTGGCTTCAGCCCCTTTCCAGGGAGTGAAAAGTTCTGTCTTACTGGCTTTCTAGGCACCACTGGGTTATAACAAAAACTCCTGCAGCTAGCTCGGTGTCTGCCCAAACAACTGCCCAGTTTTGTGGTTGAAACCTAGGGCCCTGGTCACGTAGGCACCCTAGGGAATCTCCTGGTCTGTGGGTTGTGAAGACTGTGGGAAAAGTGTAGTATCTGGGCCAGAATGCACCATCCCTCAGGGCACAGTCCCTCAGGGCTTCCCGTGGCTAGGGGAGGGAGTTCTCCCAACCCCTTGCACTTCCCAGGTAAGGTGACACCTCATCTTGCTTCTGCTCACCCTCTGTGAGCTGCACCCACTGTCTAACCAGTCCCAATGAGATAAGCTGGGTACCTCAGTTGGAAATGCAGAAATCACCCGTCTTCTGCATTGATCTCACTGGAAGCTGCAGACCAGAGCTGTTCCTATTCGGCCATCTTGCCAGTCACCAAAATCATACATTTATGGTCAACTAATCATCCCAAGTCTCACACTGAGATACACAGAGCCTAAAGAGGGACAAGGAAAATCTTTCTTGGCATTGCACAGGTCCTCCTCCCTACTTCCTCCCTAACTCCCAGCCCTGGAGCAGAACTGCTTCTCAAAGCTGACCTGGCCTCCTTCCCTCCCTTCTTTCCCTGGTTGTCCAGATCTAAGAGTGATATTGTCCCTCTGCTGCCCCCAAACATGGCTCCTGACCTCTCCCTTTATATCTCATGATTGCTGGTCCTTGAGAGTTTCCCTGGCTCCCTGTCCCTTCTTCCCCACCAGTGTCCCATGTATGAACCCACAATGGTAGGAAGGATCAGGCAGCATGGAGGGAGAAGAGGAAGGCAAAGAAAACAAGAATGAGAATGGGAGGGCTTCGCTGTTGAGCCAAGAACAGAAGTTTGTAGGTGACCCCCTCCTTTAAATGAGGAACAGCTTCCTCCCCAACATGGTCATCACCATGCCCACCTACCTGCCATTTAGTTTTTTTCAAGGATTAAAGGGGAGGTAGCAAGGAGAGCCTTTAAATTACTTGACAAAAGACTAGGCCATGATTCCGTTTTGTTTATTCTTCTCTCCCTAACTCTGCCTTTCCACTCTCAGTTATTGTGCCCATTCCTCTGGGAACAGTGGAACACAATAACACTCACTACACCCTGTCTTTGGGCCCCTCCTCTCCTTCCCTGAAAGAATGAAAGTGGCAAAGTGGCAGGAGCAGGATTGGCCTGTGGCAGACGGAACAAGGCAATGAAGGAGGAAGAGGTTTCTTGGGAGTGGAGAAGGAGCTAGAAGGAACCCAAAAAGGCCCATGGGTAGAAGCCATGTCATTGTTTGCTGGGAGCGAAAAAGTGGAGACCTGAGTCTGTCATAGGGTAGGCTTGCCCCACTCACAAGCTCTTGTGTCTCATCCACAGCAAGCAATGGCATTCTGCTCCCTGAGTCCCTGACTTCCAATCTCAGTCCTCACAAATGCATACAAGTGGAAAAAGCCTGCTGTCCTCTGCTCTCCCAGACCCTTTCTTATCTTTTTCTGCTCAGCTCATCTTCTCTGGGAGCACAGAGACTGGAAAATGAGTTCACACCCCCTCACACTTGGCTCAGGTCTTCAGTTCCATCTCTGCCTGTGGGATCAAGAGTTGGAGCATTCTGCCTCTTCACTCTATCCCATGAATGAATAATCTGTCCATTTCTCCAGTTCTTGAGCTTTTGTATGCTGTCTTTCTCTTGTGTCCTCAGAAAGGCAATGGAGCTCCTGTCTATTAGCCATGTGCTGAGAAGATGGTGGGCAGTTATGCAATAGAACGACATCTCTTCCCTTTATCTCATTCTGCCATTTATTTCCTTACTTCCCATGTCTCCATGGACATACGTTTCTCCTCTTTTTCTGAGTTGGCAAGGGATGACATGAGTAGTCAGGATGCATGGGGAATGTGGCCCTAGGAGACTGTCAGAGGGCTGAAAAGGCAGACTGGGCACTAATGAGTCAGCCAGGAGCCCTGATTTCTAGGTCCTGTTCCACAGCCTCAGGGATAAGAATGTGCTTTTTCCTGGAGCCCTTGTATTCAAATGATGGTGGAGTATCTGAACTTGGAATAACAAATCTCAATTCTCTGTTTCTGCTCAGACCCATCTAAAGGCAGTCACTTCCTGCCACTTGCCTTAAATAATTGATCTCTCAAATAGAACCCATGTTCCCTTCTCTCAAACCCTGCTGATAATGATGCCAGTGTAGATGAGGACCTGCACGATAAGCTTTGAAGGTAACAGGCATTATAACAGGGGTAAGCAGCTTTGGGAAAGTGGAGTGCTCTTTTGCTGACTTGTTCTGGGGGACTTTGCTGATTCTCGTGAGTATAACTGCTGGGTCCATTGATCTAGTACATCCTTGAATTTTTGAGTTTATAAAAATTCTTTATAAACTTCTTTATAAAAGCCACATGAATAAATTTATTTGAATGGTGGTATGATAGCAGCTATCCAGGATGCTAGCAAACATGAATTCACACAAAGAGAATGGAGTCCCCTGCAAGAAGTTGAATTTCCCCTTTTAGTTTCAACGCACAATCTCAGATCATTCTGGGTTGGGGGAGTGGTGAGGCAGTCATAGTCTCCAAGCCTTTAGGAACATAATGAGATCCTTTCCTCCCAGGTCACTTCCTCCTTTTGGCTTAGCACTTTCATTCTTTATAGAGGCCATTATATGAGGTCACCCCTTTCCTCTTTCATTTCCACTTTATTGGCTTGAGGATGCACCTAATAGCATAAATACTGTCCACAAAAATTCCACCCCTAGCCATCACCTCCCCTCCATTTTCAGGAATCTCAAGTTGAGGGTTTGTAGTATATTTTGGTTTTGTTACTCATGAACAGTATACCTACCTGAACTGGGACATCAGTGTATTGTTTCAGGCTGACTAGAGAGGAGCATCTCTAGAACAGAATGAATGTCATGTCAGAAGGCTACCATTCTGACCATCATTAGTGGGCCTAAAAAAACCAGCTAGAAATGATGGAAAAATCATTAATGAAGAACGCTTAAAAGCTGGGCAAGTAGACAAAGTTTATTTTCTTTTCTAAATAACTAGCTGAAGGAAGAATGAAGAAAGTTCCAAATGTTTAGGAAACACCGACTGTGGCCAATCATTGTGTCAGGCATGCTCACATGTGCGCATTTAATCCTCACAGTAGCCCTAAGAAGTAGGAATTATAATCCTCATTTTATACATTTGGAAACAGGCTTAGAACGGTCTCCTGGTGGAAAAAATATCTGAAGACGTCCATTTCAAAAAAGCAAACATTGGCCATTTCTGAGTGATTTGGTGACAAAGTTTTCTTTATTGTCTAAATTTAACATAAAACATGTCATTTTCATTGCAAAGTACAATTTTATGGAATACTAAATAAACATATATAAATAAGCCTTGGCCAACATTATAAACCAGGATCTGACATAGATATAAATCCATGACTTCCAACTTCCCTTGACGTCACATTATCTTCTCTTAAGAGATAGTCACTTTGGCTAATAGGGAAAAGAAGACCAGTAACATCAGAAAGCAATTTCCATCTGGCCTGGTTCTGACTGGGGTCATCACTCTAAGCCATATGCCTTACTTTGCTCTGACACTTCAGGATGTTCCCTTCTGGTATCAGCTGTGCACCAAAGCTAAAAGTTCACAAGGTTCTCCTTGCCATTCTCAATAAATCAGTTTTGCAAAATCTCCAGGCCTTCTTGCAGAGTATTCAGGCATATAGGGTTGTACTTGATCAGCCATAAAGATGGGGCTCCCTTTAGGTCCTGCAGCAGTATGGCAACAGTTTGAAAGCCTCCACACAGTCCACATAATAATAAAAGTCAGAAAAAGACCATTCACCACTTATCTGTGCTTTCTACAAAAACAAAACAAAACAAAACAGATACCTGGATGAGGGCCGAGACTGCCTCCCTCATCATTTCATTGTATGTCTATGTTGAAACAGTCAGCAAGAGGAGAGATATCAAGTGCTTGCAAGGTCCCTAGGTCTGTCCTTACATTCAGACCTTTCCTTGCTACTTGTAATTCCTTGACAGAGACACTGTGGTAGTGGGTACTCAGGAGAGAAGCAATGAGAATGGGACAATTCTCTCAGGGCAAACATTGAATCCTCTCTTTCTATTACAGAGTAAAGTTCCCTGAGTCCTGGCCTCGATTGTTCATGTAGATAGAATGGTAGCTATTGAAATTGTCCCTAGTTTAGTAATTCTCTCTGAGCTCCCTTAAGAGGGCCCAAGTACTCTTTCCATTTCTCTTGACAAAGAATAAAGAATGAGACTAAGAGCCTTGACCATCATATGTCTGTTGAGCACTTGATACTTGAAAAATTTAGATGACTGGGGGTGTGGAAGTTTTGAATAACCAGATATATACATGTAGATAGATAGCTAAAGGTATTTCATCACTACATTTTCATTTTTTTATTTATAAAATACTCCTTATGTATCACTCTTGTGCTAGGCACAGAAGATGCAATGCTGAATAAGACAATCAGCTTAGATTCCTTTTTGTGAAGTGTAACATGTACCCTTCCCAAATGTTCTATTAATGACAGATTCCTATCATTGGGTGCCTCATAATTTTGTATTATTCCATCACTTCTAAAGTCAAGGTCTACGTGGTAATTTTCCTCAGTCTGAAGACAGTAGACATGCTTCCCTTCTTCTGTGGAGTTTCTGGTGTCTAAGAAGGCTTGATCGCCTACTAAAGTTTCTCTTGCATATGCTACATGTATAAGGCTGCTCACCTGTGTGAGTTCTCTGGTGTTTAATAAGGTGGGAGTTCTGAATGAATCTTTTTCCACATTCATCACATTTAAAGGGCTTCTCTCCTGTGTGAATTCTTTGGTGTGTGTGTAGATTTGTGTTATGACTAAAGCTTTTCCCACACCATGAGCATCTATATGGTTTTATTCCTTGATGGGTCATGAAGTGCTTATTAAGATCTGAACTCCATCTAAACCTCTTGTCACATTGTTGACATTTATAGGGTTTCTCTCCAGTGTGAATTCTCTGGTGTTTAATAAGATCAGAGCTAACTCTGAAGCTTTTCCCACATTCCTGACATTTAAAAGGTTTCTCCCCTGTGGGGCCTTTCCCATGAAGATCCATAAGTTTTGGAACCTCTTGTTTACAAGTTGCAAGTTTCTTTCTTTTCTTCCTTGGAAAAGCTCGATGCCATTTCTGTACACTGTGTGTATCACCAGGATTTTCCCTGCCCATTGTTTTCTGGGCAATTTTCATTCTGGTCTTTTTTGATACTTTGCATCCTGATGTTTGTATTTCTGATGTAGAAACAGATATAGGATGATCATTTCCAATGTCATTTTTTAGCTTTAACCCTGTCAGAATAAACAGAATAATCAGCCATCTGTGTCCCAGTGCAAGAAAGCTACATAAATGGAGGGAAAAGTCAATGATGATTGCTTTAAAAGAAATACAGGAACAAGTGATTTCTGGTCCAGTCTGGACAAAATGGCATAGACCCATTTCTCCTTGATCCTCCCTGATAGGCACAACAATAAACCCATTAAGTAATATGAGATAACTAAAAGAAAATTCTTAAAATGTTAAGAAAAAGACAAACTGGTTTGGGACCCCACAACAAGAAAAATAACATAGCAGGGTGGCTTATATCCCCACACCCAACAGAAGAAGGCAATTATCAACAGAAGCCTGCCTGGGTAGGCTTATTGTTTCCTGAATGTAAAAAGAAGTGCAAATAAAGCCTTGTTGATTGAACTCTGGATAAAACAGAATATGTGACTAACACCAATGTGCAGTTCGTCTTGGGCAAACATACATGATTATATAACTTTAGCACTGGAGCTGCTGGAAAGGTAAAAGCTAAATGGAGTTTCTGCTCTTCTTTACGTTTTCCATGAACTAATGACAACTTCAGAAGACTAGTAGGATTGTGTACTTTGTAGTTCAGATGGCTACATTTTTGAGCATTAACTTGCAGCATATTTCACTATATTTGTAATTTTCTATTTATTACAACTGGACAGCTCCAAACTCTTATTACTATTTATTATCTTGTAGCTAGGTAATAGTTCCCTTTTTGCTTAATTTCTGCAAGCCAATAAAAGAAAATGTATTTAAGTATCGAGATGTTCAAAGGAAAGAGTAAAAAGTATTCATGGGGAAAAAGCTCTGTTTAACACATGTTTTATTGGATTGCATTATTAGCTGATTTCACTCACTTTATATTTGCAAAATAATTGACATTTCTAATATTTATTGAAATTGCTTAATTTGCACACCCTGTACTCTACACACAAAAATGTATCAAATATAAGAATGAAGTTAAAATTGTGACTGATTCACTTTAGCAGCGTGAATTGCCCAGCTTTTTGAAGATACAAGCTATAATATTTGTACTTCCCGGCCGGGCGCGGTGGCTCAAGCCTGTAATCCCAGCACTTTGGGAGGCCGAGACAGGCGGATCATGAGGTCAGGAGATCGAGACCATCCTGGCTAATACGGTGAAACCCCGTCTCTACTAAAAAATACAAAAAACTAGCCGGGTGAAGTGGCGGGTGCCTGTAGTCCCAGCTACTCGGGAGGCTGAGGCAGGAGAATGGCGTGAACCCGAGAGGAGGAGCTTGCAGTGAGCTGAGATCGCGCCACTGCACTCCAGCCTGGGTGACAGAGCAAGACTCCGTCTCAAAAAAAAAAAAAAAAAAAAAAAAAAAATATTTGTACTTCCCTATGTCTGTGCCATAAATGCTTGAAAACATTAAAGTTTTCTGGTTTTATCTTTTATATCAAAATAATCAGTGTAAACCTTGGTTGGTCCCTGAGTTCACTGATATTTGAGGTAATGGGGACCTGTAGACATTCTGACTAGATTTACTACCATGTGCCTTTGCCTACTTCTCTTTGATATAGCAAAATATTTAATTGAGAAATCACTTTATGTTACCATGGTGGATTTCCACTGTGCTGTAGCCGTTTTCCTTTGGATTCCCATCAGTGGTGCTGCTCAGTGGCTTGCATATAGACTTGCTATGAAGAAATGCAGAGGCAGCCCATGCTGCCCTGTTTCAAAGTTGAACTCTTTAAGCCCTTGAGAGTGGGCTTCACCCACTATTGCAGAGGCATTTTGCATTTGTCTGTAGCAAGAAATTCACCTTCTCAGGCCAGGCGCGGTGGCTCATGCCTGTAATCCCAGCACTTTGGGAGGCTAAGGCAGGCGATCACTTGAGGTCAGGAGTTCGAGACCAGCCAAGCCAACATGGTGAAACCATGTCTCTAATAAAAATACAAAAATTAGCCAGACGTGGTGGCACACACCTGTAGTCCCAGCTACTCAGGATGCTGAGGCAGGAAAATTGCTCGAGCCTAAGAGGTGGAGGTAGGAGTGAGCCAAGATTGCATCACTGCACTCCAGCCTGGGTGACAGAGTGAGACTCTGACACACACACACACACACACACACACACACACACACACACACACAGAGAAATTCACCTTCTCAAACCAGTAAAATACAGACTTAATTCATAAGGACTGGAGCTACACATTGATATGTATCACCTTAGAGCAAGAGCTATGTTCTAGGAACCAAATCACAATTTTCAGTCATGGAACAATATATCCCATGGCAGAAGACTTTACGTGTGATCTGCTCTACTTTCATGCAATAATTTAAACTTTGATTGCCCAGTAGTCCTTTAAGTTAACATTTCTGTCTACTGCTACTGGATTTTTGTTGCAAAAATATATTAATGACCCACATGAAACATACTAAGTGAATCATTATAAACAAAAGGGAAAAATGATTAAGAGAAAATTAAGTGACTATGTTACACCACTTATCCCAAACTAGAGAATAAGCCATTTCAAGCAACATCTTTGAAGAATCGTATGGTGTGAATTGGTTTGTATATGTTGGTATATATTTATTCACACATTCATATACACTCAAGATACAGTTGGCCTAATTATAAATGGGGGCATTGGTAAAACTTACGAAGTGTCCTCATACTGAATTGTAACTTTCTCTTACCTGTAAAGTAAAATTTAGATCAATCCCATGTCTTTGTTAAATATATTTTTTACCAGTCCTAAATTTAGGGTTTATTTCTAACTAGATCAAAATAAATGTAAGTTGTGGAACTCATTTTGAATATGATGGATATGCTCTACATTTGAATTTCAAGAGGCAATAATACTATTGGAATTATGTGAATTCTAACTCATTTTAACAAGGCAACCTGACCTGCACAGGATCACTTGAATGTTATCTTTTTTAGGATTACACTAATATTCTTCTCACAAAAGGTCTATAAAATATTGTAGTTGGAAAAATAATTATATCAAAATGTTTGGAAATTAGAAACTTTTCCTTAACTTTTATTGATATTGACTTGAATTATTATTTTCTAAACTAAGAGCCATATGCCTACCTGTAAATCTTTCCACATATCATTTAAATTTTTGTTTGTATTGTTATTGTTGTTGATTTACAGATTAGTTATTAGTTTTTTGTAGAATAATGCCATTGATGTGCATGCTTTTATGTTTTTTACAAAAGGGTGTGTTTGGATGAAAGTTAAAAAAAAAAAAAGCTAAAATCTTCCACAGTCAAAACAAAATAATTCTACTTAGAATGCGGAAGTGTGACATGTATTTATAAAAAGCTCTCGAGGGGATCCTAATAATCCATTTATTTCCCACACATCATCAAGTTGAAAATCAATCAGCTGTTGGAACACTGGGACTCTCTCACAGGGGTGCATTTTCCATAAACAGAGGACATAACATATTACTTAACTTCTACACAAAGGGAAGGAAGAATCGTTACCTAGAGAGATGACAGTCTCATAGATATCCTGCATTACATCATTGTAGAGAGTCTTCTCAGGAGGATCCAATAATTGCCATTCTTCCTCAGAAAAATACACAGCCACATCTTCAAATGTCAACAAACTCTAAAGAAGAGAATGGGCTATAGTTTAGTACTTGCCACTTCAGAAGCTGTCCTACCACCCATTTCTGAATCACATGGTAGGCCAGGTGCTGAAGATGTTAACAGTACAAGATTTAGAGTAAAAGAGTGAGAAGGCAGAAAGGAAGGAGCAAAGAGGATCAGTAAATCACCTGGGAGGTGCCCAATTCCCACTGTGCCAAGCCTAGTTGCCTAGAGAATAACTGGGGCTAAAATGTCTCAAAGCACCTGCTGGACACTATGAGTCCTAGGCAGTAGGGACAAGCAGAGACAAGGCCACGGTCAAGTCACCTGAAAAAAGCCAGAAATAACAGCTCACCGGGGACTCAGGCAGGATGAGTTTAGATGCCATCTTTCAGTCTTTGGTTCTTTTCTGCTCAGAAAGGGCTAACATCTGTTGATCATGCACAGCTGTGTGTAGAAAATAGTCAGGGAAAATTTCTCTTTCCTATTTACAAACATCCCGAGCTGATTTCTAAAATACAGAACATCAGGATGCCCTCAGTAAAGATGGGTCACATTGACAAGTGTGTGTGTGGTGCCAAGAAGTGGCCATCTCATTGTAAATAAGAACCAAATATCTACCACTCATACAACCTGTTCCCCAGTTCATGAATTCTTTAGATTTCACAAAAGAAATTAATCAAAGGAAATCTATTCATTTTTCCTCTCATAACATAAGCTGGGCAAGAATTGAAGGTTTGAAAATGAAGGGCTCAGGTCCTCCAGCGTACAGTAGATAATGTGGGAGACTTTTGTTTTTTATTATTTTTTCCTAGTGCACAATTTTCATCACATTCTGCCACTGATAGCCCATGTCTGACCCCAATTTTTCCTACAACTTGTGAGGGGGAGGTGGCCCCACCTGTCCCTGTTCCGTCTTCTCCTCTCAAGTTTCAAAGGAGTAGAGTCTACAGTGTGAATAGCAGGGTTCTGTGGTTTGGATATTTCTGTCCCCCAGGCTGACCCCCACCTTCAACCACCATCGACCCACTATACTCCCACGTGGGAGATATTATAGCTGCTAGCATGGCTGGCCGCCTGGAAAATTCCCATGGCATTCTAGGTGAACTAATTACCATCACAGCTCCCAGGAGAAGACAATTATGATGAAGCTCCTCACCTCTTTCATATACAGGCTGGGTTTCTTTGTGAGTGTTCCAGCCCAGCTGTTCTTGTAGTACCCGGTATGTATTCCAATATTCTTTCTGGAACACACCCATTGGTTGGGGCTCTGCTGGCTTCCACTTGAAGCCTGGGGCCACTGCTGTTCCTCCCAAGAGCACTGCCTCCTTTCCCAGCTCATGGGCTGTGACCTAGAAATAATCCCCATCCTCATTAGCACAGAACTTACTTTTGGTTTTGGGGTGGTAGTGGAGGGAGGAACAAGAGCAGAGCCCAGATTTGGGGAGTGCATGACATTAGAGAAGTAATAAAAAGAATGAAGAGTGCCACTATGTTCTCATAAAGAACTATACTCAAAATCTGGGATAATTAGGATAAAATAGAAAAAGCTGTGACTACTGCAGATCCCCACCCCTCAACCCAGTGGCCCCCACCCCGATGCACAGAGCCCTGGCTCCAGCCACTAGCAAAGTTGGGTGGGCAGCCTGTTCCCCTGCTGGGTAACTTTCACTGGTTTGCTTTCTTGACTTGGATCCTTGTTTTAGTGAATTTTTATCTTTTGGTTTTCTGTAAAAGAAAAGGAATTGAGTAAAAAAAGCTTTCCTGTTAGCCAGTTTCCAATCATCCAGGAAAGAATTTCACAGGGAATGAAGATGGATGGAAGAATAAATGGGGGGAAGAGTTGGGCTCCAATCTCTCTTCACATGACTTGGTAGTAATAAGACACCAAAAATATGCCCTGCCCTGGATTTTTCAAGGTAGGCTCCTGAAAAAAGGAAGTGTGCTGCCATCTTCCAAGGACAAACCTTGGTTTCCCACTCACCAGCAGGGCCAATGACAAGCCACTAAGTGAGGGCAATGCAGGTTCTTTCCTCCCAGCCCAGAGATGTGTGTTCCTGCTACAGAAGATACTACCCCTCAGCATCCTGATTCCCTCCACTTCTCTCTTGGCAATTGTCTTCTTTCCATATCCTTGTTTCCTTTTTTTCTTTCCATTTTGTTCTCTTTCTTTGCAGTCTCCCCAGAGCCGCTTGATTCATACTTCTGTTTGGTAACCTCTCTCTCCTTTGGTCTCTGTAAGTGCTGCCTATCTTGTGGATCTTCTCCCCTTTCCCAACTCTTTCTTGCCCTTTATTTCTCTGTTTCTAAGAACTCAACTCTTTTCTCCTTGCCCATGCCAGACTAGGCCCACCACCATCAACTCACCCTGGCCCTAGAGAAGACAAAATGCATTTATTTCCTCTAAGACCAGGAAAGGTTGTGCTAGGAATTTTGAAACCTGTGGACTGACTATTGCTGCATGTATGTCATTTTAGATCCTTGCTAGCTGTCCTAAATGAGCAACAGAAGAGGAACTTAATCTAGTTCTCTGATAACTCTTCCATTCTGATAAATTCACTTTTATCCTACTTCATTGTACATGTAGGGAATCTTTCTTCTTACCTCATTCTTTGTTCCATCAGGCTCCCTCTGCAAGAATTCCACCAGGACCAGAGCCTGTTTGACATTCTGTGGATGATGCTTCTGCACCCAGTTCTGGGTCTCCTTGGGCAGAATGCTCAGGAACTGCTCTAACACCAGCATTTCCAAGATCTGCTCTTTTGAGTGGATCTCTGGCCTCAGCCACTGATGGCATAATTTCTGAAGTTGGCTGATGGTCTCAAGCGGTCCAGTTGCTTCATGATAACGGAAGCTCCAGAAGTGCCTGCAAGCGCTCTCAGGACCAAGACTCTCTATGTTTGCGCTGTATTTCTTACTCTGACTGAAGTTCTCATTCACAGACCCACTAGTCTCCCACATAGCCCCCATCTGGGGGTTTGAGCATGAATCCGCCTTCAGCTCTCTCATCGTCATTTGCTCTAGGAACAGTTTTACTCTTGTGTGTGACACTGACACCCACCTGGTACCACCTTTGACAAATGAGGGTGCATCAGGTTTGGTACCAAATCAATGAATTGTTCTTCCCAAGAGCACTGAGGGAGAGCAGAAGAAAAGTACATGTCAAGAAGAAAACCACATGACACATATTTACTTGCTATTTATTGTAAGAGGAAAATGAAGAGAGAAGTTCCTGTCTGGCTTCTCCTCTAAAATCAACTGTCAAGAATTGGAACATTCATGATGTTAGATTACTCAGAAGGTAAGTTTCTCTCCTTTTCTTTGTTTTTCAACTTTGAAACAAAGCATAGCTAAGAGAAGACAAATGCCAATCAATCAATGTATTTCCTGTTTTTTTTTTTTTTTTTTTTTTTAACAGTTGAGGAAAGATTGGTGGGTGAGAAAACTGGCACCAATTGGCCAAAATGAACTTTGAGATTATCCAATACTTAATCTGTGGGTTTCCTGTCCTATATTGGCAAATAGGGCCTATTTGAGTTTCTCGAAACTTTAACAGATCATCCCAATCATTTTTCTTTAGTCAGAGGAAAAATAGTTTCTATACCCCTTCATCTCACTTAGACTGAAGACTTTACTAAATGGAACTCTTAATATTTCCTTTTATACTGTATCAATGCTGGTAGGAGAACTGAGACAGCAAGATCAGAGTAGAAGTAACTAGAGAAAAAGTAAGCAAATGTCCCCCCGCTAAGCAAGCAGATCATCAACATTTGATGTGGCAAGGTGTAGTACTTCTTTGAAAGACTTATAAAGGGCACTGCACAGGTTTGTACTTGTGTATTAAATCTTTTGTTTACTTTAACTGGAAAACTTTACAGATGGCCTTCCTTTACACATATACAAATGTCAGGTGGTTAAAAACAAAAACGAAAGAGAGATGGTGATGATTAAGGTTCTTCATAGACGGGAAGGGTCCTAGTAATGGCAACCTTTCTCCTGACTTAACATGTCCTCAAAACTGATTTTCCCGAGGTGATCCAGAAGAAATAGCAACAAAATTCTTTCAAGGATGCCACAGGTATTCAAAATAATGGTTGGCTCCTTGCTGACCATTCAGGCTCAGGAGGTACAGGAACACTTCGTGTGTGTGTGTGTGTGTGTGTGTGTGTGTGTGTATGTCAGCAGAAGCCATCGTCTTTAATGTTGAAATGACTCTTTCTTTAGTGTTATGTTCATAAGCCATCAAAAATCAGGAAGTTTCGCTGGGTGTGGTGGTAGACATTACTGCCCCAAATCCCCATCCCTGATTCACTACAACTTCTAGATCAACCACAGGGTTGCCCACAAGAACTCTGAACGTGGGCAGCCTTTGAGTGTGATTCACTAGCATCCCTGGGTTATATTTGTACATCCGGTAGAAAGAAGTTGCTTCCGTAGGTAAGAAGTGGCTGTAGGAGCCCGCGGTCAGGCGGCCTCGCTGTGGACAAGTCCCACCAGCTCTCCAGCCGATCTGCCGCCTGTCAGTGGCGCCACTGCCTACTGAAAAATACTGTATCACGTCCCCCACCCCCATTCCTCGCTACACAGCAGACCCAAAGGCTGCAACTGGCAGGAGCGGCCGGTATTTCTCAGGGGATCGCCAGTCAAATCTAAAGAGAAAATCAGCTTCTCGGTTACCTTCAGTCAGCTCTGGCTTCCCCGGAGGCCACTTTCCTCTTCCTCCGCTCGACTGCGCCTCTGTGGCCACGCCTCCCTGCTCTGGGTAGCAAAGCTCTCCGCTGCTGCGCGAATGTCAGGAAAGCGCGGGATGCCTGGCGAGTGAAGCTCCAAGATTTGGGGAGTCTTGGAATATCAGTTCCCTCATTCGATCCCTCCACCTCTCGAAGACCTGACTCCGACTCACTCTTCCAGGGTCGAGGTCTGTGGACCTGAACCGGAATCAACCAGAAAATGAAAGATGCATTTCCGGTGGCTTTGTGACAGCTACGCCCAGCCATCCCCCTCCCTCTACCTGCGGAGTCTCAGCCTAGCCAAGTTAGGAACTGTCCCGGGGGTGCTTTCCATCCTAGAAGAACCAACCTCCTGCTCCAGTTAGGTCCTGGGTGCAAGAAAGAGTTAATGCTACCGGGTCTCTAGCCCTGCTGGAAGCCTAGAGAAGCCCCTCAAATGGCTCTTCCCTGGGAGCCATGTAGCTTAGAGACTCCTGGTGCCAAGGTCTCCTATCCCTGATTTGCCAGGTATTGTGCATCCAGATTGTTCCTGCTGGCTTCCCGGAGGCTGGCAGCCCATTCTACTAGGAGCCTCACCCAGTAAGGGTTGCCACCGCAAAGGTCTAGGGGCCACAGAAGAGTGGCTCACAAAGTCAGAACCACTTCAGCACTCTTGTGGGCAGAGCTGTGTACTGGGCCTTCCTGAGTCTCAGCCAGAGAGAGCTCCAGCTGTAGTCACTAGACTTATCAAAAGCCTCCTTGAATAAAAGGCAATTTGGTCCTGGTCAAGCCTCTTGTTAGATCAGAAACAACAGCCCCCTATTTTTTCAAAACCATATTCTAGTTATCAGACACATGCTCCCCAACGGTTATCTCGTTTTACTCTTGTTAGGTAGATTTTAACCTTTTGAGATAGGTCCCATTTATACTTCTCTTTGACATATAAATAATTTGAAATGGTATCACATGACTTCACCTACTACTTCATGTTCAGGGTCACATAGATTACCGGTGGCAGATTTTAGCCAGGACTTTAGGTATCCTGTTGTCATATCCTGTCATTTTTCTACTACATTATGCTTTCCCTGGAGGACAGAAATCTTGCTTCCATCTTTATCTCCTGCAGTGCTTAACATAGTTCTCTGGGTAAAGTAAGTATTTCATATTTACAGAATCATCTTTCTAAAAAGCCGAATATCTTGGGTTGTCCGTATTCTCCAAGTTTTCAGTATTTACCAAGAGTTGAGCCATTTGGACAAAAATTGCCAATGTGAATCTAACAGGAGAAACTGGGTGTAGCTTAGTTTTACAATGGGGATGAAACTGACATATTTTGGAAGCCAGTGTGAAAACCAACTCAGACAAGCCAAAGAGATGTCTGCATGTCCAGGAGGAAAATAAAAAGCACCTGTCTGACTTTTTATATATAAATGCAGATGACACTAAGTTAAAGTCAATCATCATTCAAAATCGAAGCTCCCCAAAGGTATGTAAAAGGACACAGTGCATTATCTATGATATATAAACTTAGTAAAAATGTTTGGTTCACCAGAGCATTGTCTTCAGAATGGTTCTTTCAAAACTATATTCCGCAAGTCAGGCATTTTCAACATAATATTTTATAACTCAATGAAGAGGAAGTCAGGGCACTGTGACTTCTGTATAATTCCCAGACTTACATTTCAATGAATCACTAACCAGTGAGGATGGTCAGATAAAAGTCATTTTCTTTCCCCTAAACACTTCAACCTTGATTCACCCAATAAATCAAGGTGTGATCTTGAGCTGCAAACAACTTTATAGGTGGAAGCAACTTAAAGAGAATATTGTAATTTTGGATAAGGTCATGATGAGCAAGATAAAGAAGGAAAAAGAGTTTCCGAAATTAAACCTACAACCCAAGAACGCGTGATTTTTAAGTGAGCAAAGTTGAGATGGAGTAAAACAAACAACTATAGCAAATACCTAAGATGTCTTTACAGAAAGGAATCTGAAAATGATGAAGGCTTAACCAGTAAACGTTTTTCGTGGTCTGGAAACTGGAAGACTGACATCAGGGTGCCAGCATGGTTGTTGGATTTATGGTAAGGGTCTTCTTCCTAGTCATGTCTTCACAAGGCCTTTTCATGGTGCATATATGCAAAGAGACAGACTGAGATCTGATGTCTTTTCTTATGTTTTCCATAAGGACATTAATCCCATCATGGAGGCTCCATACTAATGACCCCATCTAAACCTGATTACCTGCCAAAGGCCCCACCTCCAAATACCATCACATTGGGGATTACAGATTCCACCTAGGAGTTTTGGGTGTACACATTCAGCCAATAGCAGCATACAGGAGGAAAAATATAGATCAATTTTTGAGAAATATGGAAAACTGGAAACCAACTTAGAAGAAGATGGGATATAAATGAGAATGAAGAAAAGGGTTACCTGCCCCCCACCCTCAACTTTGTGATTACAAAGGAAGTTGTTAAAAAAAAGAGGAGAGACTGATGAAGAACAACAACAGATGGCTAAATTTAAATGATGTGCTGTGAGACAGAGGTTGTACAACCTCACTGATTTTTTTTTATTCTACAACTGAATTTTAAAGGTTTCATTTCATGCTGAAGGAGATGCAACAAGTAATAAAGAACAGTTTCAGAGTAGGTTCAATTCTAAAATTGGTAGCTTTCAAAATCAAGGCTTCATAATAGTGAGTTGTTAAACATGACTTTGATTTCTGATTCTAGAAATTAGAATTTTTTTAACTGCTAAATTATGATATAATTCATGAATTACATCATTTAAAGTATTCTAAATAACAGTGTTTTTAAAATATACTCAAAGAGTTGAGTAACCAACATGGCAATCAATTATAGAATATTTACCTCACCCCCCCAAAAATATTGAACCATGCAGCTTTAACTTCTCATTTCCTGTCATCCCCCACCTCCCAATCAGCACCAACCCTAGGCAACCACTGATCTACATTTTTTCTCTATACATTTCCCTATCCTGGATATTTCATATAAATGGAATCATATTATATGTGATCTTTTGTGTCTCCATTCTTTCCTTAAGCATAATGGTTCCAAACTTCATCCATATTGTAGCATGTGTCATTACTTCATTCTTTTTTACTGCTGAATAATATGCCATTGTGTGGATATATGACATTTTGTTTATCCATTCATTGGTTAATTGGTATTAGAATTTTTTCAATTTTTGACTATTCTGTATAAAGCTGCTATGAACATTTGTGTACAAATTTTGTGGACATATATTTTTATTTATTTTACATATATTTGTAGTGGTGTAATTGCTAGACCATATGTCAACTTAATGTTTAAACATTTGAGGAGGTGCCAGACTATTTTCCAAAGGGACCACACCATTTTACATTCCCCCCAGTACTGTGTGAGGGTTCTAATTTCTCTACATTCTTACTAACACTTGTTATTATATGCCTTTTAAAATTATATCCATCTTAGTGAGTGTATCGTGACATCTCATTGTGCTTTGATTTGCATTTACCTTATAATTAATGATATTGAGCATATTTTCATGTGCTTATTAGCCATTTGTATATTTTCTTTGGAGAAACTTTTTTCAGATCCTTTGCTCATTTTTAATTGTTATTTATCTTCTATTATTGAGTTGTAATCATTGTTTATATATTCTAGACACAAGCCAGACATATAATTTGCACATTTTTCTTCCATTCTGTGGGTTAACTTTCAACATTCTTGATGGTGTCCTTTGCTGCACAAAATATTTGAATTTTGTAATGGCCAGTTGATCTATTTTTTCTTTGGTTTCTTACGTCACATCTGAAAAAACAGCCACCTGATCCAAGGGCACAAACATTTACACCTGTGTTTTCTTTTAGATCATTTTATAGTGTTAGCCCCTAATTTATTTAGATCTTTCATCCATTTTGAGTTAATTTTTGTGTATGATATAAGATAGAGGTACAATTTCTTTCTTTTGCATATGGATATTCACTTGACCTAGCATAATTTGTTGAAAGACTATTTTTTCCCTATTAAATTGTTTTGGCACCCTTGGTGAAAATCAGTTAACTCAAGGTGTATGGCTTTGTTTCTGAACTCTCAATTCTATTCTATTGTTCTAAATGTCTAGCCTTATGCAAATACCACACTGTCTGGATTACTGTTGCTTTGTAGTAAGTTTTGAAATTACAAAATATGAATCTTACATCTTTGTTCTTCTTTTTCAAGATTGCTTTAGACTCTGGGTCCCTTGAATTTACATATGAATTTTAGGATAAACAGGTCAGTTTCTGCAAATAAGTCATCTGGGAATACCATATTAATGTGGTATTCAGTGTTCAATCTTCTTTATGCAGCAGAATATCACAGCTGAACAAAAAATGATCAAAAGTTGGCTCTTTCTCAGACAAAGAAGCAGAAGAAGGAAATAAACTGAATGTTATAAAGCTTCCCCTTGCCCCTGCACTTTTTTCCAGGCATAAAGTGATGGGACAAAGCAGGAAGCATTCATACTTGGAAATCGACAGCTCAGGGCCAAATGGACCCTATACAAAAGGGGAAAGTCAGAAGTGGACCTTCATTGTGTCAACTTAAAAATCACACAATTTGGCCAGGCACGGTGGCTCACGCCTGTAATCCTAGCACTTTGGGAGGCCAAGGCTGGCGGATCATGAGGTCAGGAGATCAAGACCATCCTGGCTAACATGGTGAAACCCCATCTCTGCTAAAAATACAGAAAATTAGCTGGGTGTGGTGGCACGTGCCTGTAGTCCCAGCTACTCGGGAGGCTGAGGCAGGAGAATCACTTGAATCCAGGAGGCAGAGGTTGCAGTGAGCCAAGATTGCAGCACTGCACTCCAGCCTGGGCGACAGAGTGAGACTCCATCTCATACACACACACACACACACACACACACACACACAATTTATCCATTTAGAAAGGAGGACTTTATTTCTTAAGTAGGGGATGACAACCTGCAGGAAAGAAGTGCAGCCTCTGACTGAAAACAAAAAGCAAACACTTTGAGGGAGGGAAAGATGAGGCAGGGCTTTATGCTGAACTATATGCATGCTTGGTTGGCCAAGCATAAATATTCAACAAGTGTATTAGTCTGTTTTCACACTGCAATAAAGAAATACCTGAGACTGGGTAATTTATAAAGGAAAGAGGTTTAATTGACTCACAGTTCCACATGGCTGGGGAAGCCTCAGGAAACTTACCATCATGACAGAATGTGAAGGGGAAGCAGGCACCTTATTCACAAGGTGGCAAGAGAGAAGTGAGAATGCAGGAAAAACTGCCATTTATAAAACTGTCAGATAAGAACTCACTCACTATCATGAGAACAGCGTGGAGGAAACCATCCCCATGATCCAATCACTTCCCTCCCTCAACATATGGGGATTACAGGTCCCTCCCTTGACATGTGGGGAATACAATTCAGGATGAGATTTGGGTGGGAACACAGAGCCAAACCATATCATTCCACTCCTGGCCCCTCCCAAATCTCATGTCCTCACATTTCAAAACACAATCATGCCTTCCCAATAGTCCCCCAAAGTCTTCATTCATTCCAGCATTAACTCAAAAGTCCAAGTCCAAAGTCTCATCTGAGACAAGACAAAATCAAAAGAAAATGCATTACTTCCAAGATACCATGGGGATATAGGCACTGGATAAATGCTTCCATTCCCAATGGAAGAAATTGGCCAAAACAAAGGGTCTACAGGCCCCATGCAAGACCCAAACACAGTGGAGTAGACATTAAATCTCAAAGCTCTGAAATAATCTCCTTTAACACCATGTCTCACATCCAGGGCATGCTAATGAAAGGGGTAGTCTCCCATGGCCTTGGGCAGCCCCTTCACAGGCTGGCCTTGAGTGCCTGCAGCTTTTCCAGGCACACGGTACAAGCTGTTGGTGGATCTACCATTCTGGAATCTGGAGGATGGTGGCCCTCTTCTCACAGCTCCACTAGGCAGTACCCCAGTGGGGACTTTGTGTGGGGGCTCCAACCCCACATTTCCCTTCCGCACTGCCCTAGCAGAGGTTCTCCATGATGGCTCTGATCCTGAATTAGACTTCTGCCTGGATATCCAGGTATTTCCATACATCCTCTGAAATTTAGGTGGAGGTTCCCAAACCTCAGTTCTTGACTTCTGTACACCCACAGGTCCAACACCACGTGCAAGCTGCCAAGGCTTGGGGCTTGTACCCTCTGAAGCAATGGCTCAAGCTGTAACTTGGCCCCTTTTACCCCTGGCTGGAGTGGCTGGGAGCTATGAATATTCATGAAGGAGGGATATGTGCATGTGGGATAAGCAAACACATATATTACACGCATCTCATGTTCACTTTAGGGCAGAGACTTAACATTTAAATACATTATATTTAGGCCCTATACACCAAAGGTGAAGCAAGGATATGAAGGCATTCAGTGTGCAGCCTTAATCTGGCCAGAATCAGTTCACGTTCAGTGGTCTCTTATCAGGAGAGAGGTATTGAAATCTGTCTCTTGTCCAATAAAAGCTATAGTTATGGCTTGTGGAACAGGTGAGTGGAGGTCAGTAAGCCAACAAGTGAGTGAACTGCAATTGTTTCAATATTGCTTATCTCTAGGGCAGTGCTTGTTTAGCTGCTAGAGAGAAAGAAAAGTTTTGTGGCAATTAGAACATACTTTATTCTTTGGGTGTAGCAGAGTGGGAATTAACCCTTGACTGGCATGGCCTTAGGCTTTGTTTATAATTTGGTATCTTATTGCCAGAAAGAGTGCATTTAATTAGTCTTGTGATCTCTATTTGAACAGTAACTGTGGTCAGTTGTGATCTAAATCACAAAAGGAAGGGAGTATAATGTGGTAGCATGGTGCAAAGTTTTGCATAGGTCAGGGATGGGCTAGTCAACTGTCAAGCTGGAGCAGATTAATGGTCCCCAGATGCCCACCAGCAATGGTCAGGTGCCTAGACTCAGGGATACACAAGTATAGAAGTTTCCCAGGAATATACTTAAGTATAGCCTCTTTCTAAGCCCCTATAGCCCGCATTGCTGTAAACAGGGACTATCCCTGGTCTAATTCAACTCTTTCAAAGCTAATCGAGAAGACAAGTAGTTGGGCTCCTTAAACAGAACAGGAGGCCCCAGTCACCTAACATAATGCTCAAAGAGAGCAGCCGGAAGTTGCTGTAGCTTCTCGGCACTTCATCAATAATCACTGATTTGTAAGACTGGAGATAGAAGAAAAACAAAAAGCAACACCAGTGGAGCTGGGCATTGCAAGTCCCATCTGAACTGCGACAAAAAGGACTCATTACTAGACTCCCAATACAAGCTTGAGAAGGCCATCTGTGGCTGCCAGTGGCTATGTTAGTGCTGAAATGGAGTCACCATCCAGAACAGCATTTCCAAGAACCCCTGGGGACAGGGGCACCCACTATGGGGACAGTGTACTGATCATGGACCTGGATGAGCATAGGTGGGTGGGAGCAATCAGCAGCTCATCCCATTCCATAGAGAATATAATGATAGGAACATGAATAAAGTTCCAGCTGCTGTGGGAGACCTGGAGAGGAGGAGGTTTGTATTCCACATGCTGAGCAACCTCTCAACAAGAGGTGAGACACTGCAACTTGGGCCCCTGCAGCCTGAATGGTAAGAATAGAGTTTCTGACAAATGCAGCCCAAGATCTCCACGAAACCCCAGGGAGAGACCTGTGCCCGACACCCAGCATGGCACATCTGCAAGCAGGACACACTACAAAAATTCTGCTTTCTTTTCCCCAGTGGGAAGATTTTGATGTCTACAATGCAAATGTTCCCTCGATGGCTAACCTTGCATCTCACAACTCTCTGGGACAGAGTTCCTACAACCAGTTTACAATTAAAATTGATAATTGATAAAAACATTTAAAACATGCTACCTATAGTGAGGAAATGTAGCTCCAGTACAATCAAGATTCTCACAAATGGTGAATATTGACCTATTTAAGGAACAGACAGCGCCAAAAAGATTCTGACACTGACTTATATATTTAGACTCCGGCCCTGCAGAACTAAGTCTCACCTTTGCATCTACAGGGCTGCTTATGGCAACTGCCATGACTCTCTGCCTTGGGGGCTTTTTGTCTCACCCTTAGAGCATGCTGGACTTGACCCAAGGCCAACTGGAGGTGACAGAGATTTATATCACCCCTGGGGGAAGTCCTTTAAGAAGTATAGTTGGGTATTTGGTGGCTAAATACCCTCAAGACTTCTCATCCTACCCTTGGGATGAATGTCAGGTGTGTGTTCGACACAGTCGCCCATAGGATCCCCCTGAGAATTAGCTCAAATTACCCACACTGGCAACCTGTTAGATTATTCTTGCCACTTAATTAAGCTGCATTCCTTCTACATCTCACAACACCCCTACCAGCGCTGCCTGGGAATCCCTCCTACATAGGCACTTTCTACTCATAAGTGTGCCTCAGGATCTATTTTTAGAGAATGCACATTTGAACACCTTGTATGCTAATTTACCCTCACACTTGAATGTCTGGCGAGAAGTAGAATTGCAGGCTCAAAGTTCTTTTGCACCAACAGCTGAAAGATGATTCTCTTTCCTAGGCATTTCTGGTTACCTCATTAGCTACCTCTCTCTTTTTCGCAACTGAAAAAGTACATCTCTTGAGAGAATTCCCTCCCCACTCTGCAAGCCACTCTCATTTTAAATTTATTTGATTATAACGTCTACCCATACCCTCCCCCAAACTTCAAGGGAGACGAATCGAGACCTCTAAGTGGACTCCTTAAAGTCACCTCCCTCCAGAAATTTAGGGCTGCAGGGCTTCTCCACGTGTCCACTCAGTTGTCCTTCCACCTTCTCTAAACAGGGCCTCTCTTGAATCCAACACCCCCAGACTCTGCAATGTTAGTAAACACCCTCTCAAAGGGAAGTAGCTAGAGTTCATCTGCTGTGGTCTCGGGTAGCACAGAGACAGGTGAGAAGTTAAGAAATCGTGTGAACAAAAGGCACATCCAACCAAAACCAGTGAGAAAACAGCTTCCATTTGTAATAGTTGCATTAGGGGAAGGATTTATTGCCAGTGTGCAGGCAAGCCACGTCTCCTCATAATAGTCATTTTAGTTCCTCATGAGAACCCCACTATAAAAATCACAAAGCCCTGTCCTCACCATTATCCCTCTGAGAGCCTGGAAAATCCATGTCCTGCACCTAGACAATACCCACCTGGGTCACACTTTAATGGTAACAATATAGTTATTCTAGATCAGATACTTGGAAGGGAATATGGCTTGAGACATATGCATATGTCTCAACAAACAGGTCCAGTTTTAGTATAAGATTTTCCAAGGCATTAAAAGCCCACCTGCATCCCAGGTCCACAGAATAAAAGTGTGGAGTTCCACTGCTCTGAGCTTTAGGAGGGGGTTACACAGTTGTGCGAGACACAGCAGTGTTTAACTGCAGTGTTTAATTTCTGCAACTAAACCCTCCATTTACATGAACTGTGTATTATAGAGGGAGTAATTGCAGAGTCATGACAAAGACTGGATGCAGAGATTGACAAGCAAGTGGGAAATTCGACCTAAGACTAATTCCCTGATTGGAATATGGCGGACAAAGTTACTGATCACTACCCAGGGAACCTGGCAAGATGCAGTGGGTGCTGTTAATCTACACAAAGGAGAAATTTTAATGAAGGGATTTTGCACAAGCCAGGGACAAGCTCTGAGGCCAGGATAGCTGAATGTTTCATCCAGGAAGGATACATGTAGATGGCACACAGCCACGGGATATACCTACTTCCTCTCCCAGCAACTTCCACTTACCCTATTCTGCCCTGAGCCAGAGGAAGCCAGGTGATGGTTGCCAGCATTTGAATCTTGCAGACTGTTGGCATTAGGTTCTGAGAGAGGTTATGAGTAATCATAGTAACCATGACTTCACTTGGTTCTCAACCAATCAGGCCCTAGGACTCAGGGAAAAAGAGAGAGTGTGCTAAGGAAAGAGGTCATGTTTCCTCTCACTGCTACTTGGTTTGATACTTGTCACCTCACCCTAGATGAGCCAATCAGGAATTTTTCCTGATAATTTGGAGTTTGGAACTAGACCCCAAAACTCAGTGATTTTCCTCTAAGTTTCATTACTGCCATTTCTGTATAGAGAACATTATTTAGAATACCTACTATTGAGTTCTCTTGAGCTACCCTTGTTTCTGTCCTTGTGAAGCATGTTTGCTGCTTTGATATCTTGGATTCTGTAAAGTACTTATGTTCTTCTAATTAATTATTTTGTTGTAGAAGTTCCCATTTTGTATTACATGCAACAAATGTAAGCATTATCAAAGAAGTGTGTGGTTCTGCACTGTGCTTTATCAAGTGTACCAGAGCAGAGCTCTGAAGTATGTACTCTGGTGCACTGAGGACAAAATATTCGTGGCAGGGGCATAGAAGTTTCCAGGCCAGGGTAGAAACTCTGTCCTTTGTAATAAAGGTAAGAAATGTAGTAGGTAATCTAATATCTTCCTATGAGGAGTGGTCTTTTTGGCCATTACATGAGGCCACAAATACATTTTGAATGATTGTGGAGGTGATTAGGGAAATTTACTGAAATGTCTAAGGATAAGGCAAAGTTGGGGGGACCAATATGGTTCTGCAAAAGATCAGTTCAGAAATCATGAGGACCTGAAATGGAAGTAATGGGCACACAGTTAATTCTTGGTCAAGCCTGAAGTAGAACTTTTGTCTCTTAGTCAGTGGTGTTTCTCATTATACCACAGTGTTTAGCTTTGAAGGATGAGAGTCAAAATAGATAAGCCAGTGTGAGAATCTTTTTGGCATTCTCTAAATATTTTAATATTCTACCTACTGTTTTTTAGTCTTAAAAATTATCTTTGCAACTTCCAAACAGACATCTGTCAGATTTTTGACGTATATAATAAAAATGGTATAATTTCAGAACCTTAAAAGAGGATCTTGGCTGGGCACGGTGGCCCATGCCTGTAATCCCAGCACTTTGGGAGGCCAAGGCGGGCGGGTCACGAGGTCAGGAGTTCGAGACCCGCCTGGCCAACATAGTGAAACCCTGTCTCTACTACAAGTACAAAAATTAGCCAGGTGTGGTGGCACGCACCTGTAATCCCAGCTACTTGGAAATCAGAGGCAGGAGAGTCACTTGAACCTGGGAGGCAGAAGTTGCAGTGAGCAGAGATTGCACCACTTCACTCCAGCCTGGGTGACAGAGCAAGACTTCATCTCAAAAAAAAAAAAAAAAAAATCTTAGAATCTAGAAAATAAAATATATGTTCCCAATCCATACTAATTGGCCTTTGGAGCAGAATATCCTTAATTCTTAAGCCATATCACTAATTAAATAAATTTAAAGTATATATATATATATATATATATCTTATCACTGTCTTCTTGATCTCAGAAATGTTAAAATGTAAAAAAGTAAGCATGCCGAAATACAAGAAAAACTGCTTATAGCCCTTATCTGGTTGTCTGGTTACTGTTTTATTGGATATACATGATACTAACAATTGCTTTGAAATATTTTTGATGGTTTTGGCAAATAAATGTTTATACACATTAGGTGATTTTTCAAAATGATGAATGATGGTTTCCAATTGTGTTTTAGCATCCTCAAGATCTTCACTTTTTTCCCTGTGAGCTCTTAATATGGAGAAAAATATGGGTCATTTTCCTAATATTATGCTATTCTTACTTTATGGGAATAATCTCCATTTGTTATGATGTACAATTCTTCTAATGCATTATGGGATTTGTTTGGTTATTTTTCTTCAGGATTTTTCATCTCCATAGATGGAAATGATCTTATGGTTATCTCTCTTTATGCTCGCCTTGTCAGGTTTTGAAGTCGCTACAGAGGAAACAAATGAGACTTAAGGGGAATCAAGGTTGAGGTGCAGTTATCTTAGTCCATTTTGTGCTGCTATAACAGATTACCAAAGACTCGGTAATTTATAAAGAACAGAAATTTATTTTCTCACAGTTCTGGAGGCTGGCAAGTCCAAGATCACAGCACTGACACCTGGTCTGGTGAGGGCCTTCTTGCTGCATCCTCACATGGTATAAGGTAGAAGAGGAAGAGAGGATGAATGCTGTGTCCTCATATGGCAGAAAAGTGAAAGTGGGTGACTCCATTCCTGCAAGCCCTTTTAATAACAGCATTAATCCATCCATGCATCCATGAATATGGAACTCTCTTGACCTAATCACCTCCCAAAGGCCACACCACCGAGCACTGCTGTATTGGGGATTAAGTTTCCAACCCATGAATTTTGGAGGGGACACATTCAAATTATAGCAAGATTTATTTATATAATTTTATATTTTTAAATAGACTTCAGAATTGTTTCTATTTTTATTAATTAGAAGGATGAAACATTGTTGATGTAGGAAGAGAAGCAATTAGTGTTGGATGTTTATGTAGGAGTGAAGTCCCCATAAAGGTAAAATCTTCATGAAGGCCATGTGCACAGTGGAGGGATTTGGGAAAGGGCTTAAACATCTCTCCATTGTTACAGGAGAGTAGGCAGAGAAAGCTGGAATGGATGTCAGGATGTTGATAAAGGAGCTCATGTCTAATGGCTTTTGTGTCAGATTCGGGGAATGAGATGTGACTGCAGAAGCAGAGGTTGACGTGATGGGAACCAGCAACCAGTGAATGTGAGCAGTATGTAGAAGCTGGAAAAGGCAAGGGAATATGTTCTTCCCTAGAGTTGCCTGTGGGGGTTCAGTCAGGCTGGTGGGGAAAATTTTAGTTATAATAGCCACAAATGCTCCTGAAAGGCCTGAGAGTTTGCATAACTTCGGTAATAGATCTGGCTGAAGGCAGCCATAGTCTCTATGCAGGAGCCAGAGAGCTCAGGGCACAAATACAAAGGAATGTAGAGTAGTTTATCTAACTAACTTGTTTACTCACGTGGTCCTAAGACTAACCTTTGATTTACTGTGGCTGCTTAATTGCTTTCTACTCGGGAAGTCCACAATGTCAATTACCTTCTAGTGGTGTTGACTCAAGCCTTTGTCAATTAATCTTTACTGAATAAATGCGAGTCTCACTAGCTGGTGGGGACCGCGGCTGCTATTAAGTGGCCCGGACACTCAGCTGAACTGGTAAAGCAGAATATCTGTGTGTCAGTGTACTTTATTCATCCATCGTTGAGTCAGGGTCTGTGGGACGGACCCCCGCAGCTGCCAAAAAGAACATAATTCTGTCAACCCATTTTAGAATTCTGACTTTCATAATGTTAATATACTTGTGTCATTTTAAGCTACTGAAGTTCATGGTTATCTGTTAGAGCAGCAACAGAAAACTAATACAAAGGCCTTAATCAAGGCCTTTCAACCTTGACATCAAAGATCAGGAAATATGCCATAAAGTGCCATTTAGTTTTTCCAAGTTTAAGAACAGGTCAAATTGAGCTGTTAAATGGAGATGCAATGGGGATAATTACCACTTTCTCTGTCTCTCTTTCTCTCCAAATGTATTTATAGAGCAAGAGATAGGTCGATAGGTAGATAGATAGATAGATAGATAGATAGATAGATAGATAGACAGACAGACAGACAGACAGACAGACAGACAGGATAGATAGATATAGATACAGACATATAGATATAGATAATGGGTTTCAATACTTAAAAGCCCTGTTTTAATTTATATTTGCCTGCATTATTTCAACTGGTGGAGATGAGGTAGTGTGCACAGGGTTTATGGGGTCCTTTTAAAAATAAAGCTGATTGTAAGTGTCAAACACTTAATTTTAACTTTTTACTCATTGAGTCTGAGTATCCATGCCCACTATGAAATAGGACATGGGTACTATAGCCATGGAAAATTAGGCAAGGTAACAGTTCTGTTGTTTAAGGTAAGGCATACTTGCGTATCTTCTATTTTATGTTTGATAACTACCTTAAGAATATAGGGCGTACTTTGTTTAAATGCAGTGGGATCCCCAGATACAGCTGTACTTTGGACCCCAGTACTGATTAAGGACATGAAGGTTTACCAATTGGTGTATTTTAGCAGGTGTTACAATTAATTCTGAATCCAGAGGCATAAAAACAAATCAGCACCCTTTTGTTTTTCCGTTGTATATAGTATTTTAGTAAATGTTTGCCTTCCAATTGGGTCAATTTTGTTTCTTCACCCTTGTATTCAGGTTTTTTAAGGAAGTGCTAAATACACTTTGGGGGGTCCTCCCTACCCTGCTCATATTTATTGGTTTCTTCTTCCAGATAGTCTCAAGTCATTATTATCAGAGTTAGCAGCCTTCCTTGTGGCAATGGTTGCTTTACTGGGTTTAAGGATCCTGGGCTTAAATCAGGTTTGAATGGGCCCCTTGATTGTGCAACAGGGCACATGAAAATATCACGAGCATTTTCCAGTAACATAATCAGGGGTTCTGTTGTTACAAAGTCATAGGCTGCAGTGACAACAAAAGCATTTTGTAGGGTCCTAGTGAGTCTTTTGCTCTTAGGAGCATGAAGTCAGCCTGTCACATGGTAACTGCTCTTCCTCCATATGAGTGACCACCTCATGGGCACATAAATTGCACAGGGCATTATTCTTTCCATTGAGTTCTATAGAATGGGGCCAATGCCTGGTTGAGACACATAGACAGTAGTCACAGGGTAAGATTCATTCCCCTGAGCCCAGTGACAGTCATGGCTTATTCTGGAATTCAGACAATGTAATCTGAGACACACAGATACATCTGGAACCAGACAAAATACCCAGGGTCATTTTAAGGATGACCCCGATCCCATAATTCTATCCCCAAAGCTAACTGTTGAAATTTCCATATTAGGTTAGTTAAACTGAAGCTTGGTAGGATTCAATAAATGCAGAGCAAAGAAACATAGCTCAAAGAGCAAGATTTCTAGTAGAAAGCAGCTCAAAGTGCATCCTTTCAGTCTGCAGCTGAGCCAGTGAGGAAGCCAAACCAAGAGATGAAAGATACTCAGTGATAGTGGACATTGTTCAGAAAGCGTGCTCACTGTGCCAATACTTGTTGTAGCGCGCACACACACACAAATGCACACCCAAAGAAGGTTTTTAACAGGTTTATTACTCACATACCAAGGCTTTCTGGGGAGAGGAGGGCAGGCATCCCAAGGCACTGATTAAAATCTGTCGCAGTAAAAGATGAAAAACAGAGGTAAGATACTTGATGACACGTTTTCTTGACAAACTTTGAAGTAGGAATGATTATGACCCCAGTTTACAGATGAGAAAATGAAGCTTAGAGAAGTGAACCTAATTGATCTAAAAATAGTTTATAAGTGTCAGCAATGGGACTTGGATACACATTTACCTTATGTTAGTGACTATGTTCTCAATCCAGGCCAGATAAAGTGGAAAACATTTGAACTAGTAAAAAGTTGATTTCCAAAGCAATAGAGAGACATTGTCTTATTATGTGTGGATTCCTGCTAATAATAAACGTTGTACCAATTATGTGCAGTATACAATTACACTTTAAAACAGAGGATGCTGCTGTTAGTATACTAACTCTTGTTCGAATTGGACATTACTTTCCATCAGTGTCTCTTAGTGCACTAATAAAAATATAGTTTCTTACCTCAGGACACACACACCTCTGTGACACCAGTAACACTGTAGTCAGAGGCTGAAGGTCAGTGTGTCAGTAGGCTATTGGATCTCACAGTGTTGCAAGTGACTTAAGGTCATGACTCACCTGAGCACCATTAACATCACCAGCGGCAGGGCTTCAGGCCCAGATGCCTACACTGGAACATTGGGAGAACCAGAATTGAGGTCATGCATGGCTGCAAGGGTAGTTGTCTTAGGTCTCTGAGAATACAGTACATGCTGTGTTAGCCCAGCTGAGGTTCTCAACAGCAGAGGCTAGCAGAAATCTCAGGGACAAAAATGGAATGTCCTCTCCTGAGTGAAAACAAGCAATTCCATAGCCAACGACCTGACCATTGGCCATGGTGTAGAGACCAGCTTAAGACTAAGGAGCCCTGCCCCTTCTGCTACTGTGAGAACCATGAGCTTTGCCTTACTCTAAGATGTCTTATTTGGAAATGGGAAGAAGGCAGGGGAAAAAACCCTACTGATGAGACACACTTTCAAGGAAATGTATATCCAATGGTGACTGCTTAAATCAGAGAGGTTGGCTGAGATGACCACATGATAAATGCTAAGGGAGGAGGATTAAATGAGATGATATTACTAAAGCACTCAACAGTGGCTGGCATGCAGAGAGTGCTCAGAGCCAGTGCACGCCAGCCACTGTTCTGAGTGCTTTAGTAATATCATCTCATATAATCCTCAGAAATTCCCAAGAATGAAGGTAGTATTGTTATCTTTACCATACAAAAGGGGAACTTGAAGATCACAGAGGTTTAGAGACTTGCCCAAAATCCCACAGAGCTTGAATTAAAAATCAGACCACTTGTCTCTTGAGCCTGCATTCTTAGCCATGTCTGTATGTAATGATGTTTTACTAATTTGGACAAATGACAGTCCCCACCCTCCCATTATACAGCAGGGTTGAAGTTCATGAGTTCAATTAGTTTGTTGATGGCAAGTAAAGATGCTACATTATCTGGATGTATCTAGATGTTTTATCTCCCAGATCACTGAGCAGCCACAGTTCCTGAAGGAGTAACAATTGGTCTTGGAGAGAGGGTAAGAAGGGAGAGGGAAAAATTAACTTTCTCTTTCTCCTACATTGTTTCTCTGAGTCCCAGGACATGATTGGTTGAGTGCCAACAAGAGTCATGATGACTCACAATGCAGCTGAGAACCTTGTTACCATTTGCAATGACAAGAACTAAACACTAGCCACTAGCACCAGGGTTACTCCTTGTTCAGGGCTGAATACAGTGAGTAAGTGGGAGGTGCTGGCAGAGGGGGTAGATATTACTTTGTAACATCTGTTCCCTAGACACTAAGTTATCTTGGCCTCAGAGCTATTCCCTGGCTCATGCAAAATCTGTTAACAGGCCAAGAACACTGTTAAAATATTTTGGTAACTTCTGTGGGAGGAGTTACCACAATCTGTTAACAGTATTCATTGCATTTCCACAGGTCCACTGGGCAAAGATCAGCAATTCTGACTTTAAGAGCCAATCACCCAGTGAAAGCTACAAGAGAACTCAGTACAAGGTAGTATTCCCTATTCTCCCTCAATCTCTACATCCAGCTTTGGTCATGACTGTAATTATCACTTTTATAATACACAACTCATGTAAATGGGGTGTTTAATTGCAGAAATTTAACTGAGAGTACTCATGTGTTTCAAGCCATATTCCCTTCCAAGTCTCGGATCTAGAATAACTATATTGTTACCATTAAAGTGTGACCCATATGGATATTGTCCAGAGGCAGGACATGAATTTTCCAGGCTGACAGAGGGATAATGGTGAGGGCAGAGCTTTGCGTTTTTTATAGTGCTGTTTCCCTGAGGAACTAAAATGACTATTATGAGTAGATGTGGTTTGTGTTAACATTGGCTCCCCACTCAGTCTCACATAAGAAGGGAGGAAACTGAGGTACAAGTGCCTGAAAGTGGGACATTTGTGACCCAAGTCACAAACTCTGTTGTTTGAGTGGCAGGAAAGGCTCAGTCCTCCAGGTTTTCTTCTACCCCAGGTAGAACCATGTAAAGACCCTGAGGCCGTGTTTAGTGTTCCAAACAAGTTGGAGAGGGACAAGAATCATTTGCTTGCCTTTCACAGGGATCAAGACGAGGCATCCGAAATAAGTGGAAAGCTGTGGCTCTGAACCCAAACTAATTGGGTTCACATCCTGGTACTGCCACATACTAGCTATGTGACCTTGTGCCAATTCCATGATTTTCCTGTGCCAGTCTCCTGCCCTAGATAAATAGGAATGACAGTTGCACCCACCTCAAGCTGTTATGAGGCTAGATGAGTTTCTGCATGTCAAGCCCTCAGAGAAGTGCCTGGGAAGCAGACAGTGCTCAGCTGAGGAGGGTGAGTAATGTTCGTATTGCTGGCGTTGTTATTCTTCTCATTACGGTATTACTGGTAAAACAGGGGGCGCAAGGGAGCCTAAGGGACTAGACAATAGATGTCTTCACCTCTTCACTTTCCCTCTGCAAGGAGAACCTCTTAAAGTCACAGACAGGGTTGACAATTTTTCCCTGGCTACATCTGTTCTCTTTCCTTGAACTCCATTGACAGGTTCACTGTCTATGTTTGTGTGGGTTTTTGGTTTTGGATGACTTCCCTCTGACCAGGCTCCTTGTGTTCCAGTGCTAGTAATAATTCCTTTGGAAGATATAGGTGAGACAATGACTGCAGGTCAACTTGCCTTAGTGTTGCCTGTCCATGTCTCAAATCTATACCTCTGAAGAATCTTATTTCATTTAAACATCACTGACAGAATTGGCTTGCACACATATTCTCACGCTTTTTTTGTGGAAATACACTCAAAAATGACACTTACACAACTGATAGTCGCAACTCCTTTGTTACACTCCTCCAACTTACATTCCTATACCAGAACTTCCATCATCACTACACTGTAAATTCTTCTAGACCTTGTTTTCTGCATTTACTTTTATATATGGCTCCATGAAGAAACAAAAATAAGATGATAAAATGCATAATGTTTTGCAAGTTTCTTTCTTCAATTACCATTTATTAGAGATATTTTTCATGCCTTTTTAAAAATTATTTATTGAGATGGAGTCTCACTCTGTAGCCCAAGCTGGAGTGCAGTGGTATGATCTTGGCTTACTGCAATTGCCGCCTCTTAGGCTCAAGTGATGCCTCAGCCTCCGGAGTAGCTGGGACTACAGGCACATGTCACCATGCCCAGCTAATTTCTTGTATTTTAGTAGAGACGGGATTTCACCATTTTTCCCAGGGTGTTCTCAAATGCCTGAGCCCAGGCTATCCACCTGTCTCGGCCTCCCAAAGTGCTTTCATGCCTTTAAATAGAGAACCCCATCATCTTTTTCAATGGCTGCTTTTTATTTCATATTATTGATATAACAATCTATTAACAATAGGAATTCAGAAAAATTAACTTGTGACTACCTTACATTTTTGTCAAATTGGGTGATTTCCTTGGTTGACAAAAGAAAGGCAAACACATAAAAGAAGATATTGTACGCTCCTCTAAGAATAAATTATGAAATAATAGGAATAATATATCCAGTTCACACTGGCCATCAGATATATCTGAATATGATTTTTTTAAATACTGGGAATTATTCATGAAACATTTTTATATGTTTCCTGTTTGACACTATTATACCATTATTTCTAGTTTGAAAAATTAATTACTATATCATTTCTGCCACCATTTTAATCCATGAATTCAGTGCAAGCACAGTCATGAACCTCCATATGATTTTGACATGAAACAAAATGAGTTAATTATTCAATTAAAAGGACAAGAACACATATGGGAATAACCTTGATAGGGAGCTTGACCTACAAGATATGAAAACCTACATGATAGATTTAGAAATTAAAACAGGAATGAAAATTGCCTCAATAAAACAGAGCAGATTCTAGATACAGACCCATGTGTATGACAGAATGAAAGAAATAATATCATTGGCATTTTAAATCAGATCATGGCCCAAAGCAATCTCTTGTGACTGCTGCTGGGAGCACAGTGTGTTAGTGTGTGTCTGTGTGGGTGTGGGTGTGTGGGGGTGATGTGATAGGGATGTGATAGTGGACAGTGAGGAAGAGGTCCCTGGGTCCACTTGGTTATCTGGATTTCATAATTTTTACCAGGCTTTCTTGGTTGTGCTGTCTTTCTGAGGCAACATGAAGTCTACCAGTCATGGACAAAGGACTCTCTGAAGTCAGTCCCAGCACACCTACACCAAATATCAGGGGGAAGGCAGATGAATACTTAAAGTCCAACATGTCCCCCAACAATGTGCTGAGTTTTTTACTCAGTAGACAACTGGGGAGGCACAGAAATGATCTGGATCTGACAAAGTGATTGTGGATGCTGACACGAGCAACGCCAGGGTGGAGTTGGCCTTTGCCAAAAAAATTCGCATGACTTACAAGCACATGCCTACACAGAATCTTGGAAAATAATTTTTTAAAAAAAGTATTAGAATAAAATTCCTCCCTAGCTTCAGCTATTGAAATAGAAGCTGTGTT